ATATTCTCCGGTTGGGATGACGAAGGCTTTCATTCTCGCTACCCAAACTCTATCAACCCTTTGCAAACCCTTTGAGCCGACTCCCATTCTCTGATTACCCTATTTGGAACCTGAAAGTGTTATTGAAAAAAGAAATGAAAAAAGAAAAAAAAAGAAGAAAAAGAAAAAAAATACAAAAAAAGTGGAAGAAAAGACAAAGAAAATGAAATGAAAAAAAATGATGAAAAAAAGAGAGAAGAAAAGGAAAGGAAAAAGAAAGAGAACAAAACAAAACAGAAAAACAAAAGAAAAATCAAAAACAAAGTTTCCCTGAACTACGTTCGACTTGATTCCGAAAGGATACGTAGGCAGCCTCTCTCTGGGATTCAGTCACACCAAAATAAAAATCCAAATTCCCCCAAAAGTGAAACTAGGGTAAATGTTATAATGGTTTGGTGATGGTTTCGCCCGAAAGGTTCCAAAGTTATAACTCAATCCCAAATCCTTTTTACCCCAAAACCCTGTTTAAGTCCTTCTGATCAATCGACAAAGAGGTTCGAAATGGGAGGATCGAGTTACTTGGATCTGATACAAAAAAATGAAAGAAATAAAATGAGAGAATCTTATTGGTGAAAACCCACACGGGCACCGTAAGGCGATGGTAAGCACAGAAATGAAATGAGAGAGTCTTATTGGTGAAAACCCACACGGGCACCGTAAGGCGATGGTAAACAGAGAAATTAAAAATGAGAAAGTCTTGTTAGTGAAAACTCGCAAAGAGCACTATAAGGTGATGGCGAGAAGAGAAATAAGAGAGGTCAGCTCGTGAAAACCCACAATGGGCGCCCCTGATCGAAAAGAGGATCTTCACAGCCATCGGCATTGATAGAGTCATGGCAAGGTTTCTCGATTTTGAGGCACAAGTTGTGATAAATTTCTGAGAGTCGGACGGTTTACACAGATCATGCATCTAATCCAAAAGGCATGTCGTGTTTATTGAAGTCCGTATGTACTCCAGATAAGTCCTTCTTTCCTTTCCCCGAAAGGGACACTTTTTGTTTTAAACTCATTCTCCATTCCATTGTTTGTTTTCTTTGAATCCCTTTCGGTCTAACTCTGTTCCAAAACTGAGGCAAAGAAGAGATAACAAGACTGATTTACAGGGCTTTCGTTTGATACAAGCTAATATGCAAAAAGGCACCCAGCCTCGTCAGGGTGCATCAAGTCGACTTTGACCGGCCATGGTAGCTGATGTTTTGAAATTGAAAACTCTTGGAAGGAGAAAATCAAATTGAAGTGCCTATAAAGGCAAATGAAGGTGAAAAGGTTGAGTCCCACGTGGCTAACCGTCTCGGCAAAGATTTTGAAAAGCCAAGGTACCCCAAATGCTTTAAAATTGAAGTTGGAAGAGAGAAGCCAGAAATGAAAGGCCTATAAAGGCGAAATAAAGTTGGAAAAGGTTAAGTCCCACATGACTAGCCGTTGCGACAAAGTATGAGGAGAAAAAAGTTCCCCAATGCTCCGAAGTTAAAAAAAAAAAGAGAAAAAGAAAAGGCAACAAGTCAGCAAGGAAAGGCCCACAAAGGCGAAATAAAGTTGAAAGCTGAAGTCCCACGTGACCAACCGTCATGGCAAAGTCAGGAAAAGCCAGAGTTTTCTTCAAGGTCAGAAATGCATTCGGTATTCAAAAAACAACCAGTTGTAGATGAAATAGGCCGAGATCAAGTGGTTGAAATAATCAAGGCCACAAAACCAACCACCATTTCAAACTGACAATTTTTTCTTTGTTGAAAAAAAAAAACACAGGTGCAATCCAGAAGCAACCTTGCAAGAAGCAGGTGCTGCCAAGAAGAAACTGTGCAAGGGCTAGAAATAGCGTTGCAGCAACAACCCAAAAAGGGAAGTCTCCTCCAAAATTCTTTCCCACATTTACTCATTCGATGATAAAAATGAAAAAAAAGAGAAGAAAAATGATGGAAATGAAAAAAGAGAAGAAGAAAAATTCAAAACCATAGTAGTATAGGGTATCCACTCCCTAGTCGCTTTTCCAACATAGGGTCTCCACTCCCTAGTTGATTTAATTTTAGACATGGGGTCTCCACTCCCTAGTCGCTTTTCCAACATAGGGTCTCCACTCCCTAGTTGATTTAATTTTAGACATGGGGTCTCCACTCCCTAGTCGCTTTTTCAAAATAGGTTCTCCACTTCCTAGTTGATTTTATTTTAGACATAGGGTCTCCACTCCCCAGTCGATTTTTCCAACATAGGGTCTCCCCTCCCTAGTTGATTTTATTTTTGACATAGGGTCTCCACTCCCTAGTCGTTTTTCCAACATAGGGTCTCCACTCCCTAGTTGAAGTTATTTTTGACATAGGGTCTCCACTCCCTAGTCGTTTTTCCAACATAGGGTCTCCACTCCTTAGTTGATTTTATTTTAGACATAGGGTCTCCACTCCTTAGTTGACTTTATTTTAAACATAGGGTCTCCACTCCCAAGTCGCCTTTCCAACATAGGATCTCCACTCCCTAGTTGAAGTTATTTTTGACATAGGGTCTCCACTCCCTAGTTGAAGTTATTTTTGACATAGGGTCTCCACTCCCTAGTCGCTTTTCCCACACAGGGTCTTCACTCCCTAGTTGATTTTATTTTTAGATATAAGGTCTCCACCCCTAGTCTGCTTTTCCAACATATGCTCTCCATTCCCTAGTTGAAGTTATTTAGACATAGGGTCTCGACTCTCTAGTTTACTTTTCCAATATAGGGTCTCCACTCCCTAGTTGATTTTATTTTAGACATAGGGTCTTCACTCCCTAGTCGCTTTTCCAACATAGGGTCTTCACTTCCAAGTTGATTTTATTTTAGGCATATGGTCTCCACTCTCTCGTCTACTTTTCCAACATAGGGTCTCCACTCCCTAGTTGATTTTATTTTAGACATAGGGTCTCCACTCCCTAGTCTGCTTTTCCAACATTGGGTCTCTACTCCCTAGTTGAAGTTATTTTTGACATAGGGTCTCCACTCCCTAGTTCCTTTTCCAACATAGCATCTCCACTCCCTAGTTGAAGTTATTTTAGACATAGGGTCTCCACTCCCTAGTCTGCTTTTCCAACATAGGGTCTCCACTCCCTACTTGATTTTATTTTTAGATATAGGGTCTCCACTCCCTAGTCTGCTTTTCCAACATAGGGTCTCCACCCCCTAGTTGATTTTATTTTTAGATGTAGGGTCTCTACTCCCTAGTCTTCTTTTCCAACATAGGGTCTTCACTCCCTAGTTGAAGTTATTTTAGACATAGGGTCTCCACTCCCTAGTCTGCTTTTCCAACATAGGGTCTCCACTCCCTAGTCATTTTTCCAACATAGGGTCTCTACTCCCTAGCTGATTTTATTTTAGGCATAGGGTCTCCACTCCCTAGTCGGCTTTTCCAACATAGGGTCTCCACTCCCTAGTTGATTTTATTTTAGGCATAAGGTCTCCACTCCTTAGTCTACTTTTCCAACATAGGGTCTCCACTCCTAATTGATTTTATTTTAGGCATAGGGTCTCCACTCCCTAGTTGAAGCTATTTTAGACATAGGGTCTCCACTCCCTAATCACTTTTCCAACATATGGTATCCACTCCCTAGTTGATTTTAATTTAGGCATAGGGTCTCCACTCCCTAGTCCCTTTTTCCCAAGGATACACAATCCTGATTTTATTGCTTTTAATAAAGAAATAGTTTATATTTTTGTTACAAAAAACTTATAAAATTTTCTTAGTGAAAACTGGGGCAGAAAAATTTCGTTTGTTTGTTTGTTTAGGTGTCTGAGCAGGTTATACCTCGAGACACAGGGTTCGAGACGACCAAAAGATGAAGTCATAATCCAGAATAAAAGAAAAGAAGAAAAAGAAAAAAAGTGAACTCTAAGTGCAGAAGCGGAGAAAAGATGCGGACTGCCCAAGATATGATTGAATTCACAAGCTTTGCATGTCCCACCTTGATCCGAAGAGCTAAAGAAAAATGAACCAGCGTTCGCAGCTAACGAGCATTAAGATTCAGATAAGAGTCTGCAGGAAAAACCAGCCAAGACTCAAGATCAAGCTTCAGAAGATTTATAGATAGGAATCATATAACTCGTAGCTGATAGGTTTAGTTAGTCTTTTTCATTTTTGATTTTGATGTAATAACAGGATCGCGGACTGGAGCCTCGACAGAACCTCACTCGACTCTTGAACTCATCACTCCATCATCCTTCCAGAACTACCCGACCTGATTCCTTTATAGCTAAGGATATGTAGGCAACTTACGAAGCAAGGTTCGGTCAAACCTTTTCAAAATGCTGCCAAATGGAGTTTCAAACGGGAAAAAATTACTCGTAATTGCTCACTTTATCTTTGCCCAAAAACTCTTCATGTTTTCGAGCAAAGATGGGCAGCTGTGACCACCTAATTTTTGCCATACATGAAAATAACTCCTAAAAATAAACCAAAAATAATTTTTAAAGGATTTTAGAAGTTTTTCTTTATTTAGTTACATTTCATGCATTTTTAATATTTTAAAATTATAACAAAAATGATAAAAAAATATCACATTTGAATTTCATGTCTTCTTAGGTCCAATTTGTATGTAGGAATTATTTTTATTAAGAAAAATCACAAAATGGTCATTTTTACATATTTAGCTTTTAGTCTTTGGAAAGTAGTACTTTTATTTAGTTTTAAGTTAATTAGTTGTTTTAATAGATAAATAATTTTATTTTTACAAATTAGATTGATTTAGGATTTATTAGATTTTAAAATCAAAGAAAAAAAATAAAAAAATAAATTTTGATTTAGTCTTCCTACCCCAAAGTTAATTAGCCCAAATTCATAACCCAAATCCCTTCATGCCCAAAACATTGAGCTCATACCCATTTCTCATTTGACCTAACATAATTCCTACCCATATAAAATAATGCTAACTCCTAAAGTTAAAAAAAAAAACTAGACTTGAACTCTAAAAAAGAAAACGGCGTAGCAGCTAAGAAAAGGACCTACACAAAAACAAAAAGACGGCAGTCATTTCTTGAAAGAAAAAGATTCAATATCCATTTTTTCCTAATTCCTAAAAGTGACGAGAAACAGAAGGAAAAGGGAACAAAAAAGAGCATGGAAACGAGATAGAAAAGAAGCAAAAAACAGAAAGAATAGATCTGGGGGAGGCATAAGAAAATGAAAAAAGCTTCATAGCAAAAGCTGAGAATCGGCCATTAAAATATCTCACTCAAGCTCCATAGCTCCCCTATCCATAAACCTCATCTTTTCTCCCTTTTCTCCACCAAAGTTTAGCATCTTTCTGCTCTGAAGTACTGTGAAATATCAGTCCGGAAAACACCCCAAACCACCTCCGAAACTGCTGGAGCTTGATCGATTTTCTTGAGTCAGGTTCGAGTTCGGTGCGACAAGTGGGTCTCGCTAGAGCTTTGATTGATCGCCTGAGGTTTCCGCAATTCGAAAGGCTCCGTCTGAAAGCTGTCCAACAATTGAGTTGCTGTAATTTAAAGTTCACAGTCGTCAATAAAGGTCCCATTCTTTCATGCTCTATCTCTTTACTTTGCTCTTATCTAATGCTGGANTATAAGAAATGCATTACTCCACTTGGATGAATAATTGTGTGCTTAAGATAGATGTTGTTTAATGCCGAGATTGTCATCATGCATGAAAGATTAATGTTGTTTGCTAATGATGCGGGAATCATATTTGAGCAATGTACAAAATGAAGATGTGAATGGGATTTGATGCTGGTTCTTTTCCAATTAAATTTTATAGATTTGGTGCTCGGTTAAGGTGAACCATGTCGGGCCCAATTGATAAGAGCTATAGGTATCCCAATCCTAGTAGGCGCATTTAACCGGCCCATTTACACCCTTCTCCACGAATAATTCCATATGTCATGACCCCACAACAATCTCAAAGTAGTTCAAAGAAAATAACTCATGAACATCGTAGCTTGTTTTAGGCGCGATTAATAAATCATCGTGACTATGGGTACGGTTCCTGTGACATAGTTATGATACCTAATTCCCAAAATCGGGTGTGCATTTCATGTAACCCGATCATAACAACTTCAAATATTAATAATATAAATATATCGCAAATCGCGGGTGCATTTCATGTAGCGTGATTTGCGGTGTGTCCCAAAACAATAAGTGTACGACAATCATAATTTGTTCAAGAAATAATTCCATAAATCCTAACGGCGGTTTAAAATAATTAAAAGCGGTTATAAAGTTAAAAAAAATGCACAATAAGTTTAAAATGTGTATTAAATCAGATAATAGGCCAATTGATAATAGTTAAAGCGACCGTGCTAGAACCACAGAACCCGGGAATGCCTAACACCTTCTCCCGAGTTAACAAAATTCCTTACTTAGAATTTTTGGTTCGCAGACTTTTAAATAAAATGGATTTCCTTGATTTGGAATTTTAAAATAAATCGGTGACTTGGGACGAAAAATAAATTATTCCAAGTGGCGACTCTGAAAAATAAATAAATAATCTTATTTCGAATAATGCCACTTTAATTGGAAAAACTCCCTATATACCTTCGGGTGTAAAAAGGAGGTGCGACACCCATGATTAGCTAAACAACCACCCTTGATTTGATTTGTTCCTAGATTTTGGCCTTTGTCCTCGACCAGTCACGAATATCTCGCATTTCCATTATTATACTGTCTTCGGTCTTGCTCGATGTCTATCCCGTTCGATCTCGATCATTACTGGTCTCAATCTCGACAAGTACCTACCTTATATTCGCATCCGGTCTGATAAAATCGGATAGGCCCGATTTTAACCGTATACAGATAGTCCCCTCGTTTCTTGGAGTGTAATGACAAGAAACTAAGTGAGTCTTTGAATTTACCCTCGGTTAAGCATCGTGATGTAAGAGGTAGAGGTGATCGAATCGTCCCATCGTTTCAGTTACCGGTCGGCCACTACCAGTATTGAACTGTCGTCTTCAACCTTTAAATGCATCTTTCTTCATCTTTTAAACTTTACTTTCAATCTTTTCTGCTCTAATCTTCAAAGCTCTCTGCGTTCTTCAAGCTTCATTGCTAACCTCCTTTAAAAACACCAAATACCCTAATCCCCGTTCTTCCTTGTTCACAAAAAATGGCCAAAACATATAAAACTGTTCCGCAAAAGAAAAGCTTCCTCGTCCCAACCGGCCGGCGAACAACCAATGACAGATCCACGTGCTGAAGAAATAGTTTCCGGGGGTGTGTCCTTGATGATGACTTCAAGGTCAAAAAGACCCCTTCGGTTCCAGGCTGATGCGAGCCCATGTTGAGGTACATATGCACGATTACCAGTGACCAACTCGACCAAGTCAAAAATTACTACAACTGGGTCGACAAGCACGTGGTAGTACCCTCGCCTGAGGAGTCAATCACTACTTACGTGGAAGAGTTTCTAAGTGTTTCTACTTACCTTTTTACATTGGGTCCCTTGGACTCGGTCATCGTGGACTTCTGCAAGAAATATAAAGTCACCCTTGGCCAAATACACCCCTCCTTCTGGAGGATAGTGATATTGCTCCCTTTTTTGTTAACCAAGTAGACGAGATTCCTTTCACCCTCGACCATCTCATACGATTATATAGCCCCCGACTTTATCGAGGGGGGCTAAATAAACTTCAACGTCGGGCCTCCAAGGAGGCTTTCTCGAGCATAGATGAAGACAAAGACCATGGCTGGATGGGCCGATTTGTCTGAGTGAAGACTCCGGACCTGATCCCGGCCGAAAATATACCATTTTTGGAGATATGGAATATGAGGCGTAAGTATAACTCCCCTTTTAACTTCTACTTTATTAGATTCATTTTTTCATCCTTTCTTATTGGCGTTTTATTTGATGCAGCCGTTGCTTGGATGCCGAGTGCGATTCCCCAGCTCGAGAACTAGGTCAGGAGCTTAGTGTCGAAATTGACACACAGTGAGTACACATGGCGCGAACTGACAAGAGGCCGATGGGAGAATCAAAACCACGGTAAGTTTTTGTATAACTCGATAACTTTGACCACTTCCCCAATTTCTTCTTGATCTCATTTATCCTTCTTTTGCAGGTCTGGGGAAGGGCGTACCGATGAGGCCCCATCTAATGATGATGAAAACTTTCCCCAACCATCTGCTCCGAAATAGAAGAAAGAGCGGAAAAAGAGAGAGGCACAGAAAAAGAGAGAGGCTTCGAGCTCCACGAAGCTGGACGAACAAAATCCCAAAAAGAGGCAGACCCACAAGGGGAATGTCATCCCTGTAACGATGGACTCAGTCCTCAGGCTACGAGACGAGCCAGAAGAGGATGAACAAAAAGAAGAAAATGAAGACGATTTTAGGCTGGTAGCCCATTCACGAGCTAGCACGGGGGCTCGGAAAGCTTTGGAACCAGTCCCCGATGAGGTCGAGGAGGAGGCATCGGCCCAAGTCCCCGAGCGGAAAGGAACCGAATTTTGCCTTGGGGCAAAGAGGCCATTGAAGAGGCGATGGATGCCGGCGCAGAAACCGAGCTTGAGAGTTGTCACATGTTGAAACCTGATTTCGCGAGAAAAAGGGGCGCGACAACGACCAATGGTTGCCTCGTTAAAAACCTTGCCGGAAAACCCTTTTTGGGACAAAACCAATCTAAGGGAAAAAAAGTGCAACGCGTGCCTACAGACCTAAATTCTTCATGCCGAGGAGTCCATTATTATCTCTAGTCGATCACCTACAGGAGTTAGTTTAAAATATAAATGAAAATGGAGAAGGTCGTACCTTAGCAGTAGTACCGTTTTAAGTGCGATATGTTCCAATTGTTTGGTAGTTGTTTGCCGTTCATTGTACCGATCTTGTAGGACCCTTTTCTGATAATTTTAAAAATCTGGTACGGTCCTTCCCAATTTGGACCCAGCTTCCCTTCATTTGGATTTCGAGTTTTGAGGGTGACATTTCTTAGCACCAAGTCTTCGATGGTAAAATGTCGAAGATTGGCTCTTCGATTGTAGTACCTTTCGATCTGCTGTTTTTGAGCGGCCAATCGGATGAGGGCAGCTTCGCGTCTTTCGTCTAACAATTCTAAACTCGTATTCATGGCCTCGTTATTAGACTCTTCTATTGCGTATCGAAACCTGATGCTGGTGTTACAACCCATATTCACGTACGTTAGTTCATACCGTAAGTTAGTCAACATAAATCCGAGAAGAGATTATCTTTGAGATGATAAAAAGTTAATCATATTGGTCTTAAATGATACAAGGGTGTATAAGGGGGGTTAACAAGTATTAGAAGTTAAACGAATCAAGGATGTTGCAACCCGTATTTTCGGGTAAACCTAGAGGTTCTTAATATACTCAAGAGGTCATGTTTTAAGGTATTTGAATCATACAATATCCTTATCATAAGTCTTGAAATCAAACGAGTTATGAAACAAAAGTCGTCAAAAGTTGTCGCAACTTAGGTTAATAATTTTACTTAAACTTTAGGTCAAATGTTACTAAGATTTTCTCCCCATTTACTGGTAATTATAGGGTGATCTACCCACAAAATTGAAGATCTATGAGTCTAGTTTCCAACACATTAAACCGCTCATCTATACGATCTCGAAGTAAAGAGATATTTGCATTTTCGCAAGACTGCGCCAAGCACCTCTCTATGGGGCCCACATAGAATATATATATNCGTTTCTTGTTCTTCTTGTTGTTGCTCATTTTTGTGTTGTTCTAGATCGTGTGGAAGGTGGTTTTAAGTGGTTTATGTTCTGTAAATGCTCCCTCAAGTTTTTAATATCAACCCTAGGTGATTTCAAGTCTTCTAAAGTGATTCTAGTGCCGAAAACCCCTAATTGATTGCTAGTTTCGCTTCCTTGTTCTTGTGACAACATTGGAGGGATATTTCGTGGAAAATTAAGGTCAAATTGGAGTTTTTCTTTTATATTTAAAGGTAAGGAACCTCTTACTATACATGTATTTAAGATTATCCAAGTTGCGGCTAAGTCGTTGAAGCTAGAACTTATGAAATATATATCGAAAGGCTTGGTAGTTGTGTTGTTGGTTGGTGGACTATTTTGGGAGGCTCAATATGATTATTATTGATGTTATTTGGGATATTTGGTGATTGTTTTGACTTGTGGGAAGTCATATAAATAGGGGAGGTGCTGTCCGTTTCCTCGTAAATTAGGTTGTGGTAGATACATAATAGTTACGACACCTAAACGATAACAATAGTGTCATTTCTCTTATTGTAGACTAAAGAGTCGTGAAATTTGCATAGCTTGAGGTTGGGCAGTATATACAAGATATGTGAGGCTATCCCTTTCCTTCTTTTGCACGACTCCGATTGTACATAACGTAAGAACGAGCTTCCAACGATACTCTACTCTTAGAAGCTAGCAGTACTTACATTGTTTCCCTTCTTATATCGCGATTGATGCTGATGTTGCTTCTCTTATCCTTATGTTATCAATGTTGTTGGTACTTACTGATTCTTATATGTTTCATGATGAAGAGTTAGTCCTAAT